TCGTCAGATGGTCGGGCATCTTCTTCGGGCTCCTTTGCCTCGCGGGCGTCACGACGGGGAGCGTCGTTTCGCCTGTACTGTGCAAGCCTCCCTCCTTTGATGAGGGTTTCGATGGCGTCCTTCAGGTGGACGCAGTCCTCTGTCAAGTGACCATGACTCCTATGGTACTGACAGTACTTGTTTTTGTCTACTCCTGGCTTGGCAGGAGCTGGCCGGGGACGCTTGACGCCACCGTCTTTAAAATCTGTGCTAGCACACTCCGCCAGAATACGCTCGCGGGAAGCCGTGAGCGGAGTGTACTCGGTGAAACGGCCCGAGGGGCCCCTTTGTTCCCGGACCTCCCGGGGTCGATCTTCCTTCCTCTTCTCTCCGGTGCGTCGGGGAGGAGGGTCTTGTCTCGAGCTGCTGCTATGATTGCGAGCCCTGGAGTCTCATGCCCTGTTGGCAGCTTCTCTCTCCTCGTAGTCCATGTATGCTCGGGCTTTGTCGAGGAGAGCATCAAAAGTTGCAGGTGGCTCAATACCCACAGCTTTTCTGAACTCTGTGCCGGGGAGGAGGCCCCTCTCCAGCAAGTACCTTTTCATATGGTCCGCGCAGGGGACCTGTATTGCTTCCCGGTTGAAGCGGTTGATGAATTCCCTCAAGGTCTCATCATGTCTTTGGATGATGGCCTCGAGGGCTGCCTCGGTCTTCGGGTGGCGCCGAGAAGCGGTGAAGGAACTGATGAACTGGTTCTTCAGGTTCCGCCACGATGTAATTGAGCCTGGGGCGAGCCCTTTATACCAGTCCATGGCCGCCTTCCTGAGAGTTGTGGGGAAGAGACGACACTTGATGGGCCCCCCGACATTGTGATAGTGGAGCATGGCTTCGAACCCGTCAATGTGGTCGACTGGGTCTGCTACTCCATCATACTCCTTCAGATGTGGGGGCTTCTCCATGCCCGGGGGAATAGGTGCGTCCATGATGGCCTGCGACAGGGGACCGCGGGGGTCGTCCTCGTCGCTCCTTTCTGGAGAAAGAGAAGGGGTCCTGTAGTTATGCCGGGCACGATGGTCGTGCTGAGATTCCCTCGAGCGTGATGCTCGGTGGTTGAAGGTCACACGCCCGTCTCTGTTGTGCCTCCTGTCGTGCCTTGATGGGTCGCGACTGGGCTCTTCGGTAGGGATGACGGGCTGTCTTTCATATTGGGGCCGCCTCTGCCTTGGTGGGGGAGAGGGGCTCCTAGAGTTCTCCCTGTAATGTCTCCGCGGGGGAGTAGGGTGTCGAACTTCTTCGACCCGAGGAGGTGGAGATGGTGGCCTCTGATGCCTCCTCGGGGGTCGTCGATCATTTTCAAGTGCCCTTAGTCTTTCTCCTTGGGCGAATAGGAGATAATTTGTCTGGTTGATGGCCGCGAACAGTGCCTGAGTCGTGGCATCTGCCCCGGCAGGGACTTGGACTTCATAGAACCGGGCAGCTTGGCGATAGGCGAGGGCCTCCGGGTCGTCTTCGAGTGCTGGAGGGGTCGTCGAGGAAGACGCAGTGTTCCCGTCCCTGCGGGTGGAAGGTCCAGGGGCGGTTGTCGCAGGGGTGGCATTGCGGCCGGGATCACCGAGATTGTCGAGGTGTCCATTCTTGTCCGCGGGACCGTTGTTGGTGTCGGTGACGCGGGTGTACTGTTCTTCACGAGCTGGATCAGCCATGACAGGTAATTGAATTGAGCTTTGGTCTTTGGAATTGTTCGTTAGACGGGGAAGCTGTTTCCCACAGACGGCGCCACTGATCTGACCTGATCAGAAGGTTTGGACCGTCACGGCTTGCTCCGAGCTGAAAGCTTTTTGAACGAGGAGGGGGGGGGGTACCTGCAAGGCACTCCGATGCTAAAGTCAGTGGGAGTACGAGCAGATAATAGAGTTGAGGTTAGAATGATGAATACCTGACCCTCTGGAAACAGAGGGTATTTATAGCCCCCAGCGCTGGGCCAAGGTTCCTTCATTGGGCCGGGCGGATTTGGCCCAATGGAGGAACTGCCAGGTTCTACGTGGGTAGTGGGGACCAGCACGTGGTCCCCTTCCTGGATGTGCTGCGTGAAGTGCGGGCGGACGGAGACGCGGTCTTTCCGGAGTATCGTTGGGGGAACGGTGGACTGAGTCTGCCCTAGCCGGGTAGCTTGAGACCATGTCGAGCTGCGCAGCACGGTGCCGAGCTCGACGCCAGGACCTCGAGCTGGACAGCGAGTGTCGAGCTGGACGCCAGGACATAGAGCCGGACGGCAGGGTGTCGAGCACGACTTCACCGCGTGGGGTTGAACATCGAGATGTCGAGGTGGACATCAGGGTGTCGGGCACGGATGTGACCCCCTTTGCCCAGTGTGGTCCTTAGTGAGTCCCTTTGGACTGGGCCTTAGTAACGCTTTTGGGCCTGTCGGGCCCAGTCCATAACAATTATTATTATGATTATGATTATTATGATTATTATTATAATTATTATTATTATGATTATTTATTATTATTATTATTATGATTATTATTATTATTATTATTATTATTATTATTATTATTATTATTATTATTATTATTATGATTATGATTATTATTATGATTATTATTATTATTATTATTATTATTATTATTATTATGATTATTTATGATTATTATGATTATTATTATTATTATTATTATTATTATTATTATTATCATTATGATTATGATTATTATGATTATTATGATTATTATGATTATTATTATTATTATGATTATGATTATGATTATTATTATTATTATTATTATTATGATTATTATTATTATGATTATGATTATTATGATTATGATTATGATTATTATTATTATTATTATTATTATGATTATTAATATTATGATTATTATTATTATTATTATTATTATTATTATTATTATTATTATTATTATTATGATTATTATTATGATTATTATTATGATTATTATGATTATAATTATTATTATTATTATTATTATTATGATTATGATTATTATGATTATTATTATTATGATTATGATTATTATGATTATTATTATTATTATTATTATGATTATGATTATTATGATTATGATTATTATTATAATAATTATTATTATTATGATTATGATTATGATTATTATGATTATTATTATGATTATTATGATTATTATGATTATTATTATTATTATTATTATTATTATTATTATGATTATTATTATTATTATTATTATTATTTTGATTATTATTATTATTATGATTATGATTATTATTATTATTATTATTATTATTATTATTATTATTATTATTATTATTATGATTATTATTATTATTATTATGATTATGATTATGATTATTATTATGATTGTTATTATGATTATTATTATGATTATTATTATTATTATTATTATTATTATTATTATTATGATTATTACGATTATGATTATTATGATTATTATTATGATTATTATGATTATGATTATTATGATTATTATTATGATTATTATTATTATTATTATTATGATTATTATTATTATTATTATTATTATTATTATTATTATTATTATTATTATTATTATTATTATTATTATTATTATGATTATTATGATTATGATTATTATTATTATTATTATTATTATTATTATTATTATTATTATTATTATTATTATTATTATTATTATTATTATTATTATTATTATTATTATGATTATGATTAAGATTATTATTATGATTATGATTATGATTATTATTATTATTATTATTATTATGATTATGATTATTATTATTATTATGATTATTATTATTATTATTATTATTATTATTATGATTATAATTATTATTATTATTATTATTATTATTATTATTATTATTATTATTATTATTATGATGATTATTATGATGATTATTATTATTATGATGATGATTATGATTATTATTATTATTATTATTATTATTATTATTATTATTATTATTATGATGATTATGATTATTATTATTATTATTATTATTATTATTATTATGATGATGATGATGATTATTATGATGATGATTATGATGATGATCGTCGTCGTCGTCATCTTTTCGTGCTTAAAGCAAAACGCTAAGAACTTTTTACATAATTGCTTCTCCAAACGGGCTTCTTTTTCAAACGTGATTTTCACGGAACGCCTCCAACGCGGAAGTACTTTTTGTCAAACGCGATATTTTAGCCGGACATCTTATTTCCAAACCCAAACGGGATTCGTAATCTCATTGCGTCGATTCAGTCACGTTTTTCTTTTAGTTCAGAACTTCTTTGGTTCAAATGCTTATGGTTTTTTGCATTTTTACGGTAAGCTTCACAGTTTCGTGTTGATTACGGTTTCAATTGGTTTCTCTGGTTATTTTTTCGGTTTCAATTGGTTTCTCTGGTTTCAGTTGGAGGAATGTTTACCTGTTAAAAAGGCAGAAAAACACAGCTTTTGGTCTTGCCCGCAAGGTGTTCCATAAAACACCTCAACCATATCTCCTGATTCTTTTTGCACAAAATGTTTAAATCTGTTTCTTTCCTCTTTTCGTTTCTGTTTTGATGTGCATTGTGCGTGAAAATGATACTCGATTTATATAAATATACAGCTTAGTTAAGTACTTAGAGCATAATCACTTCTTATATAAGTGCTTTCACATAAGCTATTATAATCACTTCATATATAAGTGCTTTTACATAAGCTATATTTATAAGCTACATTGCGGAGATCTTGTAGAACTAAGGTGAAAATAACTTAGAGATATCATGAATTCTTTCCATAACATTTCCCAAATAGTGTCACAAGTGCTTATTATGTTAATAGATCAACTCAAATAAGAAAGTGCTGGTTGTGCAAATAACAAATGCTAATTGAAATCTAATGCTAGCAGGTACCAAAGGGGTGGGACAAGCTGTTTGTGTCTGTTGTATCTGTGGAAAATGGTAAAACACTTGCAAAGACTAGTAAAGTCGCCGTACGTAATGGTAATTGCCAGTGGTCTGATACTTCATCAGAGTCTATATGGGTTTCTATAAGGTGAAGATCTAAAACCTGCTAGTGATTTGTTGTGTGCATTTTGATAGATTTAGTATAAAATTGTGCGGATGGGTTTCAACAACTCCAGCTACATGATATTGTTGGAATGTTGTGGCCTCACATATTCCGTGTTGATTACGAGGTGCTGACTAAGCGGTTTGTGGGAGATGAAAATGGTACTGTAAAAGGACTCGAAGTGGTACGTGTTCGCTGGGAGAAGTGTGAAACCGACAAGTTTCAATGTAAGGAAACTGAGGGCAGTGAGGACATAATCGAGGCTGACCTAGTTTTACTTGCTATGGGATTCCTTGGCCTTGAGTTGGTAAGTATTTAAAATAGTTTTATTCTTACATTTCCAATATCTTAATTAAATGAATATGATATGCTATAAGTTTATGGTTGATGTGAATTGAAGATAAATTGGTTGCTTATGCTAATTAGTTTTCCCGGTAATATTAACATATAAGTGTTTGGAAGAGTTTGTTTAAAGCTTATTTGGGCTTATCTCATTATATGAATACTTGGATAAGTGGTTGGGTAAATCTTATAAAAATAGAATTAGGGGAGTGCTAGGAAGAAATTGTGTAGAGCTAAATTTGTCCCATATCATATATGATTACGTTGCCAACACTTTATGATCGCATAGGATAGTAAAAATAAGAAGGATACTTAAAATTAGTACACAAATGATTAAGTAATCAGAACAATGAAGTAGGAAAGATTAAGGATAGGTGCAGGAAGAGAACATCCATCATAGGTAGTAGGTGTTGGGATGAAAAAAGGAACAATATTGAGTTAGATTATGTGTTAATATAGCGTATGTTTGCAGGGTAGTAATATTTGGGAAATTAATCGGTACAATTGAACAATCAGAGAACTTCCTTTTTGATACAGGGTAGTGTTAAACTTTCAATTGAAATATTATATTCCTCAGTAGTTTCCCATGTAAAACCACTGTTGGGAACTACTCAGGCATATATGTAGGGTATTATTAAGCTTCAATTAAAAGTACTAATCACTATTGGATTGTCTAATGGATCATTTTATGGTCTTTTAATGTACATGGCTTTGGGTAAGATTGACATCGATAGTAATTTGAGAAATGTTGTTTTGAATAATTATTAGTATTACTTTAACACATGTTTGTGAACATTTAAGAAACACGCACATCCTAAATTTTCAATACTGAAGCAATCTCTTCCTAAGCCACAAAAATTTGCTTATATAAATGGGGTATATAGAGCTGAATCAGGAGGACTTTTAGTTGTTAACTTTTTGATTGATTTGTACAGTGTTTTTAAATAGAGGTTTTAAAGGGTAGTCAATCCAAATGTTGTCAGAAACAGTGGCTATACAATTCTAGAATTATATGCAAATATCTTAGGGTCCTAATGGTTCTAATGCAAACAACTCTTCGGATGAGCTATCACCTGCAGAACGACAACTTTTGATAGACAAGAAAACAAAACTTGTGTTCATGCTGGATGAGGTAGACCATTATATTCTACAATGTTTTTTCCAGTAGTAGCAATGAATTGGTTGCATGATGTTATCATGGAACGTTAGATTGAGAAAAACACTGTAATGAACACTTAAACACATAGTGTTTGTGTGATGATTATGATGAAGGTGTTAAAATAGCAAATAATTCGTATTATGTGTTTGTAGGTAGATAAAAGATACTGACAATACTGTCATCAAAGGGAGACTATGGTATCAACTTTCGACATGGTTGTTGGTTATGGAGCAGTTGAACCATACACAAACTCTTGGTTTATGCACAATTTCTCGTTGCTTTCTTTGTTTGTGTGACACTATTAGCAGCCAAATTCAAGTGACTCAAAGGAGTCTCAGAAAATAAGAGGGAATGCCTCCTCTCCGGTATGTTGATTATCAGAAGCTGTCTTCCCTCACCTTCTGCTTCTTAATGAACAAACGTATATGTTGTGTTATTCACACTTTTCTTCGAAACCTTCTTTTGTTTTCTGTTTCTGACAACTTAATCAACAATTTAATGTATGTGTCATTCATCAGAATAAATATTTTTGTATATTACATCTTTTAAATTTGATTTTTTTAATGAATAGTTGTGGATTTTATATTTAATTATCTGAAAATTGGTTTTGATTTAGTCGTTGGAATTTGTTGAAGATTATTGAGAAAGAATCTTTTGGGTGTCCTTTGAACATAAGTATTTTTGTTTTTAGTCGATTTATCAAGGTAAATATGATTTGTATTGTCTTTATTGAAATATTTTGAGAATGTATATGGACTGCTTTGACTGTGTTAGATATGTTTATTTGCCTCTAGTTAGATTCTGAAGAGAAAATTAACAGTTCTTTGTTTTTTTTAATAATATAAAGCATATTAGATTTTTCATATGAGGCAACTCCAATGCCATACAGGGTAGTACCTGCGAACAAACACAATATATTGGCCTGGAAAAAACTTGGAGGTAAATACTATAAACTAGTTTTATCAGAATATTCAACAAAACAAATTTTAGTTTTGTTAATTTATTTTCTTACTTTTGTTAATATGATGTTAGGTACAAGTTTTCAAACCAAAAATTGGTGATTGTGTTGCTTTCCTTGGTAATTATGACACCAAGTATTCTGCAACAATAAAATTTGGAAATGGACAATATGAAGTGCCACCTTGGTCTATTAGCATTCTTCCTGACTGCAAAATTGTAGTTTTCAACACTGCAAAGGTAAGATAATAATTTTGTTTGTAATTTATACTATTTTTTCATCGACTTAATATAATCCTTGTGTGTTCAGTGTGAACATTGATCAGAATGAAGGTTTTATAAAGAATGGACAATCTCCTCTTACAATAAATTCAGCAGGCCATGCTATGCATGTTTTTATTAATGGTCAACTTTCAGGTCAATAAAGCTAACAAACTATATTCTTTCTTTTGGTATTTTCTTTCTTACTATAACAAACTACAATTTTAATTATATATCATCTCATGTTTGTATGCAGGTACTGTGTATGGATCATTGCGATTATTCGTTTTTGGTAGAGTGCTTGTAATATGAGGCAAGCAGGTATTGTGAACATGGTTGAGATACTTGAGAAGCAATTGGCTTCAGAGGTGTCAAAGATGACGTTATAAGAAGCTTTCACTCTTGCTCGTGCTTTCAGCCATTATCTTACTATAATGGGTATAGCTGAAACTCACCATAGGTAAATCATCTATGAATATGATAAGACTTTGTTTGGATCAACTTATTTGATAAGATGTTTTCAGTTTATTTTCATAAGCTCTCCAAATCCAAGATAGTTTATGAAAATAACTTAGAGTTTATATAAAAAATAGTTTAATCTTATTTTACATAAATAACTTATAAGAACGCTTATCATAATAAACGCTTATGCTATAAGTTGCAAATTTGGCTGTTTTTTCAAACGGGCTAACTCATAAATCGTGCCTTTGCAGGGGCTGGAGGGGACTATGGTACGAATTTCAAAATCTTGTAATGAGTATTCAACCAGCTTGTGAAGGGTACATTCAATTCTTTTTTTTTATTTTTCCATTTGATTTCAAGAAACTTAAAGAACATGCATGTTTAGTTTGTAATTATAATTGAATACTAATTAAAAATTTATGTCAATTTTGTCTTGGATACTGTTCTGGACTGGGCTCGGGTTGGCCCAAGGGCAAGAATGAAGGTCCAATCCAAACGGCTCTACAGGGGGCGCGCCGACCAAGAAGCTACAGTCGTGCCCGCCACTGCCCGCGAACGCAACATCCTCGACCTCATGCAGTCCAGCTCGAGTCCAGCTCGAGCACCCCCTCGTAGGGCAGACTATGACCGTTACACCCTCACCTGAACTCCGAAAAGACCGCTTCCTCGTCCATCTGTACTTCTCGCAGAGCACCCAGGAAGGAGACCACGTGCGGGTCCCCACTACACACGTAGAACCTGACAGTTCCTTTATTGGGCCAATCCTGGTCGGCCCAATGAAGGGACTTTGGCCCAGCGCTGGGGGCTATAAATACCCTCTGTTCCAAGAGAGTCAGGTATTTTTCATGCTCTTACCCATATACACACTTTTTACCTGTTCGTACTATCACTCATTTCAGCATCGGAGTGCCTTGCAGGTACCCCCCATCTCGTTCAAATTTCAGCTCGGAGCCAGTCGTGACGGTCCAAGTCTGATCAGGCAAGATCAGTGGCGCCGTCTTGTTGGCTGAAGATTTTGATGATACAGTTCGAAATGAAGCAATATGGATGTTTCGTTGGAATAAAGCAAAATGTTACAGTTCGGAATGGTAGAAGCGGTTCTTCGAACGGACATGTCAAAGCTCGGAGCTTCGAGTGACAGTTGTGAAGATATATTTAAAAGAAACCTTGAAGTGGTAACGAGACTGTGTCTGTGAAATGAGTTCGAAGCGAAGATTACCAAGGCATTTGAAATTCAAATGCGAGCGGGATGTTGGAATTCAAATATATATGCGCTGGAGCGTTCGAAGACGCGTGGAAGCTAGAGAGGAGCAGTGCTCTGCATGTTCCGAACGTGGCAGAATCTTATAAGCAAGACCGTTATGGTCGAAGTAGTATAAATAGAAGTCTTAGTGTTAGAATTTCGTGTGTCATATTTATTGTACAAAATTCAGTAAACATTCAAAATACCACATGGATAGGGAAATGAATGCTCGAACAATGTACGTATGTGTTTCCAGTGATTTCTGGAAAACAACCGCTAGTCTTCCAAACTATCGAATAGTCTTTATTAACGCTACTCAATCTCTTTGGTAACTCACAGGATCGACTAGATTGATCCTAGGACTCCTTGGATATCAAGGTTACTCTCACAATCGGACAATTATTCATGGGTGCTATTGTATATATGTTTGGTTTGTTTCGATCCCTCTCTCTAAGAGTTTAAGAATGTGGTCAAAATGTATGTGAAAACTAAGTTACACGAATGATTGCTAATTGTAATGCTAATTGAAAAGACATAGAAAACTGTATGAAAAATGAAGTAACTGATTTCGATCCATAAAACATTTAACACAAAAGGTTTCTGGAATGTAGAAGTTTAAAATATGAAGAAAGCGTTTAATGCAAGAAATCTAGAAAGGAGTTTAAGTGAAAGTACAGGTTTGAAGAATAATGCTATGAAAGTAAAGATATTGAAAGCGTAAAAGTTCTCTGAAACATAAAGTGCTTCGAAATGTAAAGAAAGCAGTAAAATGTAAGACTTTGAAGAAAGGACTTTGGAATGAAAAGACAATAGATAAAGAAACTTGTAAATGTTGCTCGACAAAAAGAAAAAGAAGGAAAGTGCTGGAAATAGTAAAAAGGCTTTCATTAAATTAAAAATACATGGTGCTATCATACATACATCTCTCTTGCATTCGTTTCCCTTGCCATGTGGTAGTTTGAATGTTATTGAGTATTTTGTATAACAGATATGACACACTGAAATCCTAACACTAAGACTTCTATTTATACTAATTCGACCCTAACGGTCTCGCTACAAGATCATGCCACGTTTCGAACATGCAAGATAATGTTCCTTTCTTCTTTCCACGTGTCCTCAAATGCTCCAACGCATAACTTTCAAACTTTGAAAGTCCCGCTTTCACTTAAATTTCAAATGCTTTGGTGTTCTTCTGCTTCGAACGCTCTTCTCAGATTTAGCTTCACTGCTGTTTCGAGACCCCTTTGAATACGCTCCCAAGATTACCGTTCGAAGCTTCAAACTTTGACACACTCATTCGAAACACTGGTTCTGCAATTTCGAACGTGGTGTTTTAATTCCATTTCGATCATAACTTCTAGCTCTTTTTTGAATTCCAAATAACACTATTAAAATCTTCAGCCAACAAATTGCCCCTTTAAAATATGTATTTCGATCTCTCTGAGAAATACCTATTTTAAACATTTATACAAGATTTTGATAGGATCTTCGAATCATCATAGCATTTAATGCGTTTGACCCTAGTCACATCAATCATAGCACCCTTTGGGTACCTTAACCCCCCAAAGTCACTTCACAGCATGGTGCAGTTATAAGTAATGATTGTTTTTAAAATCACGCCTATTACCTATATCAACTTCTCGCCACCTCTTCATCACACCAATCCATGATCTCCACGTATCATACTTTCACTCGGTGGATGTTTCATCTTCTTATTATAAAACGTCAATTTAACCTTCCTTTTTTCTTCTTTACACTCTAAACCTTTCAAACTCTAGAATTTTACCCTTCTTCTCTCCTAAACACTCTAAGTTCTCAAACAACAAAAATGTCTTCCTCCACATCATCTCAACTCAAGAAAACTTCCAAGAAGAAGGGAAAAACTACAGGAGCAACTATGGAGAGTAAAATCGTCACCATTCAAGGCCAATCTGCTCTTGCTCCTCAAATGATCTCCAAAGAGAAGGAAATGCTGTACGCATCACAGGTACTCATCCCTACCCATGTTGCTGGTAAGAGGTTAGCCCTAAATGGCCCTCTTACAGTTTTTGAAATACTAAAGGACACCAGGACCATTTTTCCCGTGTGTTACAACTTTAAACCTTTATTCAACAAAATGGATGCCCCTAGGGCAACAGAGTTTCTTAACCCAAAAACCACAGAAACCTCAACTGTTCATCCTAAGGACCCATTCATCTTGGATTATGTAAAAAGCAATTTTAAACCATTCCGATCTTGCCCTACTGCTGATGTTGCTTATCAAAACTGGTTTACGAAAGTAGAAGCCAAAAAATCCCAGCAATGGGAAGAACTAGGCATTTATAACCTTATTAAGCTGTCGAAACCTGGATTCACCTATAGTCATCCTCTGCTATTTGCGTCCCTCTACTTCTGGGATAGTACCTACAACACTTTCCATCTTCCAGGTGGAATGATTACCCCAACTTTCTTCGATATAGCAGCCATTACTGGGCTGACGCCAGTGGGGGAAACTTATGTTCCTGATAATGAAGAGCATTCAAGCATAATTGACTTCGAAGTCAAGTTAGCCAGCTTCTCCAAATTTATCGGCCATTATCATGCTGAAGGGGATAATGTGTCTGACACAGAGCACATTGCTTTCTTAACTCTGTGGCTGTCTAGGTACGTTTTCTGCAGTAGATCCCTGCAGGTAGCTAGTAGGTTCATTCCTTTAGCTAGGGATTTACATGAAAACCGCAAAGTGTGCCTAAGCGAATTACTCTTAGTTGACCTCTATGAGAGCCTGAGGTCGGCTGTTTCGAGCCTTAAATCCCACAATTCCAAAAACATTCTTTTAGCTGGCCCATTTTGGTTACTTCAATTATGGCTCAATGCCATGTTCGAACCTTCTTTAGCAACCGCCAACACCATAGACGAACAAGATGCAGAAATAAGTGATAGGATAGTCGAAGGCACTAGGCTTCGAAGACTAACCCCTAACGATGACAAGGACGACTTCAAGGTTCAATTTTCAAAGTACATCTTGATACTCTCAAAAAGACATAAATTCGAAGAGAGCATGGCGCCCTTTGCTTCGAGGGCTCATGGACCTTCTTGGTTCACCATGGCTCTCTCAGAAGCTATCAAGAGTAAGGAAATCCAAGATGTGTGGAGAGCTTTCTTGCTTCCTAGACTTATCTCTTCAAGGATAACCCCAGCTAAAAACCAAATTCTTCTTTTTGCCTACCAGCCAAACTTCGTTTCAAGGCAGTTTGGCCTATGCCAACTGATTCCTGAACCTTTGTTCCAGACTGAGAGCGCCATCACCTCTGGTCGAACTTTCAAAGCAAGGGAAGCTAAGATCCAACAAGAACAATACCAGGGCTTTGCCCAATTTGAACTGATAGCCTTCGAACCTACTCATCTCGCGGCCAAAGGATTTCTGGAGTGGTGGATTAAGTTTTATCAAACTTGTATGTTCGATACGCTTACTATTCGACAGAAACTAATTGATGCCTTCGATGTGCAGGTACCAGCAAAGAAAGGTATGTTTACTCATGCCAAAGAAATAAAAGCTTTTCAAAATTACTTCGAAACTACTTACGATCCCACACGCTTGGACTCCACTGTGCATCAAGCGGCTGAGACCTTGAAGGAAAAATTTAAACAAAAAGTTACCAAGTTAAAACTTCCTTCAGGGCTGTCACCTGAGGATAGGTATAGGTTGGCATTCGAAATGCATCCACCTAAATTTCCCAGATTACCTACCTCAGAATTGGCTCTGGCTTGGTTTCCCCCATATCCATGGTGGTTTACTTGCAAAGAGATGTTCAAATATCTTCAAAGGAAACCAAAGCCATCTGAGACTGTGACATGGGCTCGACACTGGCTTCATGATTTCCCAGGACATCTTCGATATGACCTTTCTGCCATGTCAATTAAATCTGATCAAGGCACAGGTGCGAATGCTTGGGAAAAACTCCCAAATATCTTTTATTTTCCAAATCTTTAACCTTTGCTTTAAATGTTTTGATTTTCAGCTATCAGGATAAAGACCACTGCCTCGAAATCGAAGGAAGGGAGTGCCTCTCAAGCCTCCATCGAAACTACCGAAAAGACTAATCCACCCGAAACGACTACTGCTGCTGCAACTACACCAACAACAACAACGCCAACAACAACAAGTGCCCCAATTCCAACGGTAATCACTTAGTTTTTTCTTTTCATGCTTCGAATTCACTCGATCCTTTTATCTCTAACTTCGTTAAACTTCGTGCAGACCAACAAGCTTCCCCCCACTACTCCCAAGAAGCGGAAACCAAACACCACTGGGGAAGAACTGACTGCTGGAGGAAACTCAAACATTGCTTCGAAGAAGAAGCTGAAGAAAACTACGCCCAAAAGTACTGCTCCTACTAGTGTCTCTGGACTCGACTCCAGGGATGCTGCTCCCTTACCACAATCCAAAAATCCACCTTCGACCTCCAACCCACAGTTGGAACGCATAGCTAGTAACCTCTCTTCTGAGGGGCCACAGGTAAATCGAACTTCTTCTAAAAAACATTTAACTTCTTATTACCTTGGTGAGTGTCATTCTTTAACACTTTGCTGCCCCTTGCAGAACATCCTGAATCCCACTTCTACTATTTCGATCTCACCGTCCAGGGCTGCTGTTCCGCTTAACTCCTCTCCTCAAGGGGATTCCAGCAATTTGGTCCAAAACAAAGGTTCTTCAAACGTGGCGGTTTTGGCTGGAACTTCTGAGCAGCCAGATGACCAAGGTACCTCCATTCCTCTGAAAGAGGT